TTTACTTAACACAGAGCCTTGGGTTACAACTCCCCCTCCTCCATTTGTTATCCAATTAGACTATAGATGTGTGCTATCCATATAGTTTTGCTATTTTTTTCATTTTTAAATACAGGAAATATTTTAAAGTAAAATCAAAAAACGTCTTCACCTTAAGAGGAGTTTTTATTTCATCCCATCACACCCATCAATGCCATGAAGGAAAATGATTGACAGCCAGAACTGTAAGGGCCTCAGTAAGAGATGACTCCTGCTGCCAAGCCTGACAGCCTGAGTCAGAGTTCCAGAACCCACATGGTTGAAGAAGAAAATGTTCTGGGCTGGAGAGATGGCTCAGAGGTTAAGAGCATTGCCTGCTCTTCCAAAGGTCCTGAGTTCAATTCCCAGAAACCACATGGTGGCTCACAGCCATTTGTAATGGGGTCTGGTGCCCTCTTCTGGCCTGCAGGCATACACATAGACAGAATATTGTATACATAATAAATAAATAAATAATTTTTTTAAAAAAGAAAATGTTCTGACAAGTTGTCCTCTGACTTCCACATGCACACTGAGGTGTTTGCATGCACACACAGATAGATAGATAGATAGATAGATAGATAGATAGATAGATAGATAGATAGATAGATGATAGATAGATGATAGATAGATAGATAGATAGATGATTGATAGATAGATGATTGATTGATGATGGATAAATAGATAGATGATTGATAGATGATGGATAAATAGATAGATGATAGATAGATAGATAGATAGATAGTTATTATATTATGCAAAATAAACACGAGCCTTTCAAACATAAAATTACTTTCAAGTCCTGGTGTGATGGGACTTGTAATCCCAACACCTAGGAGTAGAAGCAAGAAAAGTCCAGGATAATCTGAGTTATATGCAATACCCTGTCTCAAAACAAAACTAAACACCCATTGGCTGGAGAGATAGCTTAGTGGTTAAGAGCACTGGTTGTTCAATTTCCAGCATCAACATGGTGGCTCACAACCTTCTGTAGCTCTAGTCCTGAAGTGCCTAAGGGCACTAGGTACACATGTGGTACAGAAACATGCAGGCAAAACATTCATACTTTAAAAGCCACTTATTTTTCAAATATTCTCAAATTATCACATGAAATACTGAATTTTTATAGCACTGAAAATATATGCCAATAATTTTAAAACTCTTTAGGTATAAAGCCTGTGGGGAAAGTTCAAGATTAGATCTAAGGAAATAAACTTGCAATTATTTCTTCTTTCTTGTCTTGAAATGTATCTTACTGGTAAAAATAACTTGTTAAAATTAATATCATCTAAAGTGATTTTTATTGGATTTCTTTTTAGGTCTTTATTTTCTTTAACCTTTTTTTTTTTGTTTTTCTGGTTTTTTTTGTTTCTACAGCCTAGCCAAAGCTTCCACTTCCCCACAGTAATTATTTGCAATGCAAAGAAACGTGATAAAAGCACTTTGCCTTAAGAAAACCTACTGGGAAAAAAGAAGAAAAAGAAAAAAAAAAAGCTACTGGGAGCTGGGTGGTGGTGGCAGCAGCGGCAGCGCCCACGCCTTTAATCCCACCATTTGGGAGGCAGAGGCAGGTGGATTTCTGTGAGTTCAAGACAAACCTAGCCTACAGGACAGCTAGGATTGTTACACAGAGAAACCTTGTCTTGGAAAAAAAAAAGAAAATCTATTAGGTGTTGGGCTCCTTGGTGCACACTTTTAAACCCAGTACTGGGAGGCAGAAGCAGGCCTTCTCTGTGAGTTCCCAAGGCTACAAAGTGAGACCCTGTCTCAAAAAAAAAAAAAAAACCAAAAAACCAAAACAAAAAACAACAACAACTTTTTTTAAAAGACAGGGTTTCATGTAAAACAGCCTGACCACCACTGCTATGTAATAGAGTAACCTTGAACTCCTGAGCCTCCTGCCTGGTTTGTATCTTGACGAGGAGGAGCTATATGTCCAACCCTAAGTAAATGTCATACACATTCTTTCAGATGGGTGTTGCATGGACTAAAAGAAACTGAAGGCTTGGAATTAGTTAGCAATAGGAAATAATCAAGAATACAGAAAAGAACACCATCAATGGGAATAAAGAGAAACAAATTTAAAAAAACAAAACAGGAATCGAAGTTCTTAAATAGACAAGGTACAGGAAGACACAATTTGGGCAGATCTAGCAGTCTACCCAGAAAGGTTCACAGGAAATGATGCCAATTTTCTACCGCTTCAAAACAAACTGTACTAAAACCTGACTGTCTAGAACTGAAATCATTTCTCTGCCACAACTCTGGATGTTGTCTGGCTAGGTGGCTCTCATTTGCAGCTCTCCAAAGCTAGAGTCCACTTTGTCTGAGTAAGTGATGGTTCAACAGGGCTGCATGTCCAAGATAACCTACTTACATTATGCTCTTTTCACTTACACTGAAAACAACCAAATAGAAAATGATTAATTGCAGGTGAGATGGGTCACATGTAGCCTAGGATGGCTTCAATGTCCTATGTACTCAAGGGCACCCTTCAATTCCTGAATCTCCTGCCTTTACCTCCCAAATACTGGAATTTATTTATTATTTAATTTTTGTTTTTTTCCAGACAGAGTTTCTCTGTAGCTACGGAGCCAGTCCTGGAACTTGCTCTGTGGACCAGGCTGGCCTTGAACTCACAGAGATCCACCTGCCTCTGCCTCCCGAGTGCTGGGATTAAAGGAAGGCAACACCACTGCCCAGTTAATTTTTTCTGCTTCACGAATTTGCGTGTCATCCTTGCCCAGGGGCCATGCTAATCGTCTCCGTATCGTTCCAATTTTAGTATACGCGCTCCCGAAGCGAGCACTTTTTTTAAAGATTTACTTTTATTCTATGAGTGTTTGCCTTCATGTATGTGTGTGCATCACATAAGTTCCTATGGTTCCTATGGAGGCCAGAAAAATTAGTTGGATCCCCTGCAACTTAAGGTACAGAAGGCTGTGAGCTGCCATGTGGGTGCTGGGAATTGAACCCAGGTCCTCTGTAAGAGCAGCCAGTACTCTTATTGCTGAACCATCTCTACGGTTTCAAGTGCTGGAACCTCAGTTAGGTCACTAATTTATCTCTTAATATATAATTACATTAGAAATAAGAACTTGATTTTAGGAGGTTAGAGATGGCTCAACAATTGAGAGTACGGGATGCTCTTCCAGGGGACCTGGGTTCAAGTCCCAGCACCCACACCAGCAGCTCACAACTGTTCATAACTCCAGTTCCAGGAGACCTGACACCTTCACACAAATGTGCATATAAAGTAGAAATAATTTTTTAAAAAACCCTTGATTTTATTGCTAAAATGGCAGTTGATGCTAGTTGTTTACTGAGGTTAGCTAACGCTGTTCACTGAAGTGCCTACACATCTGTAAACAGCCTACAGTAGAGAAACTTCTCAGTTACCTAGGACTTTTAAAAGTGTTCTAGCCAGGCCTAGCCTCCTATCCTGTAAGCTTAGCTACTCAGGAGGCCGAAAAGAGCATCTCCAGTTAAAGGCTAATCTTGAAAATGTGGATGAGAAGTTGGTTTTGTTTTGTTCAAGGTCAAGGATGTAACTCAGTGGTAGGGCACTGAGTGGAGGGGTCAACCTGCAGTAAAAATAAACCAAAATAAGGAGTGAGTGTCGCAGTGAGGGGATGCAGCATTGCTGCTACCTATGGTGCTACATTGGTCAAATCAGTAATTAGCCGTTAGATCGAGAGCCTACTGTACCCTACCTTGTTAAAAGAGAGAAATTATTTATTTTAAAGTACTGCAACATTTATCTTCCTAAGTTTACAACACAGTTCAAACACTTGAATCGGGAGCTCAGAAGCATGTTCCGAATTTGACTGCATAGGATATCATCTAGTGCGAGGGCATCTACAGGAAACCAATGTATGAAGGCCACAATCATGTGAATCACAGCGAGACCTATCAATTCCAACATGACTGGGGCACAGTGGCGACTCCTTTAATCCCAGCACTCCCAGTAGGCGGACCTCTGAGCTCCAGGCCAGTCAGGGCTACCCAGTCTGTTTTGTGAGTTTGTGTGTGTGTGTGTGTGTTTGTGTGTACAGCATTCCTTCCATGTGTGCCCACAAGCCAGAAGGGAGCACCAGGTCTAATTATAGATGGCTGTGAGCCACCAGGTGGTTGCTGGGAATTGAACTCAGGACCTCTGGAAGAGCAGTCAGTGCTCTTAACCACTGAGCCATCTCTCCAGCCCCCCAGTCTGTTTTGAAAAGCCAAAAACAAGCTCCCTTCCCCCCACCAAAAAAAAAAATGTAGGTATTTTATGACTTCTACTTTCAGGTACTTTTCTTTTGGTGCAGAAAAAGCACTGGATTTAAAGAAAACTTGACTTTTTTAAAATGAATCTCTAGTCACTTGGGTTTCTTTTATTCTTTTGTCTTTTTTTTTTTTTTAATTCCCAAGTGCTGGGATTATGTTTCACCACCACTTGGCTGATGGGGAGGGCAACTTACTAAGCCATTTTATTTACTTTTGTCTTCATTACCATTTTTTTTCTTCCTAAGAACTAGTGTACTAGGGCTGGAGAGATGGTTCAGTGGTTAAGAGCACTGACTACTCTCCCAGAGGACCCAGGTTCAATTCCCGGTATCTACATGGCAGCTCACAATTGCTTTAACTCCTGATACTCCCACACAGATATACATGCAAGCAAAAACAAAATGCATCTTAAAAAAAAAATACTAGTGTACTTCCTATTATTGAACCAGTTAGTTTTGCCATTATACTTTTTTTTATTTTTCCATTCAAAAAATTTACACTTCTTCCCCTCCCCCCATTCCCCTCCCGCTCCCCCACTTTCCCTCCTCCCTCCCTCTCCCTCCTTAAGAGAGGGCAGGAAACCCTGCCCTGTGGGAAGTCCACCCCCCACCACATCCAGTCCTAGGAAGCTTTGCATCCAAATAGACAAATAGACTAGGGTCCCAAAAAGCCATTGATAAAGGCACTGGGACTTGTTTCTGCTGCATTATACTTTTCTTTTCGAGCCTCAATTTATATGGCTTTTGTCATAACTTCTCTTTACATAACTGCTTGGTTTTTGACCTTTTTCTTGCAATTTCTTATTTTTGAAAGTAGGTAGGATATAACCTTGAGTTCTCCCTCCATTCTTCTGAATGAGAATAATTTTTATATTTTCTTAAGTTACACATAAAAATCATAAAGTAATAGAATGCTTAAAAACTCACTTTCCATCTCACTACATAGAATGGAAGTCAAATGGACACCTGAAATACTAAGAAGCCTGTGTCAAAGGTGAACTGGGACTGAAAACAAGCAAAGAAATAGACTGTGGTCAAAAATACATGAAATCTTGTCAACATCTTTTTATGCCAAAATCGATTCTAAGGGAGCAAAATGTTCTGTAAATTTTAACAGTAACAGTAAATTTAGGCACTGATGTTAACTAAAAATACATATTATGAACAGTCAGCTTCTCTCCTGTAACTCAGTATGTTTTCTAAAGCAATAAAACAATTCAGCTTTGTCTCAAAACTGAAATTCAACGTATTATAAGAGTAATGTGAATATTATTGGTTTTTATGATGTTTTATTTATTTTTAGACACAGGGTCTTGTTGTGCAGCTCAGGCTAGGCTGGAACTAACAGCAATCCTCATGCCTTAGCTTCTGAGTGCTGGGATTACAGGGATGCAGCAACCACACTTCTGTGATCTTGAAAGTAAATGTCCTTGTTTCCAATATTTTCAGTGTTGATTATTTCCAGTGACTGTCTGCCTCATAATGCCTCTATAAAAACAGAAGCCAGAAAAATCAAACAATCATTTATAAACAATCTTTTTTATAAATAAGGCAGTAAAAATAAGTATGAAAAATAAAGACGCCCAAATTGGCATGGCTTCTGGAAGTCTCAGGCAGAGTGAGAATGTGGGTCTAACTTTAGTTCTAGGATCATCCTATCAGATTATACTGTAACTTTACCACCAACCACAGAAACTTGATTAAGAACATTATTGACAAAAATAAAACACAGTGGGGCTGAAAGATGGCTCAGCAGTTAAGAGCATGCCCCTGTAATCCTGGCCCTCCTGTGGCATATCTGGAGGCAGAGACAGGAGAATCCCTGGGAGCTTGCAGACCAGTGCAATGAGATGCTGTCTCAAACACAGTAGAAAGCAAAGACCAACAACGAGCTTGTCCTCTGAACACCCCATGACAACTGTGGATCACATACAACCACATTCACCCACATACACAAATGTGCACACATGCATCACACAGGAAAGACACTGGTAGAATGGTGTGTGTGTGTGTGTGTGTGTATGTAGAGGCCTGATCACACCTCAGAGTGTCATTCCCCAGCTGTACACCCTAGTCTTTTAAAGACAGCCTCACTGGCTTGAAGCCTAGGTCCAGCTGTCCTGGCTGCCTCGTGAGATCCAGTGATCTGCCTGTCTCAGGTTTATTTCATGTGGGTTCCAAGGATAAAACTCTTATCTTCATGCCGGCATGGCAAGCATTTTATTGAATGAAGTATCTCCCCAGCCCATGATGAAATGATCTCTAAGTTTTTCTCTAACAATGTAGATATGTAATAACTATATTTAAAATGTTAAGCCTGTATCCTAAAAATAAACAAAACCAGGTGTTGAATCAGGTTATGTGAGCTTTTAACTTTATATTTTAACATAATAAACACCTAAACTTATTTGGTATCAAACTGATTTTCCAAGTACAGCAATAGATAATATAAATTTCTAGTATTTATTCTTCCCAAAATATTTTTTTTGTTTTGTTTTGTTTTGTTTTTTTGAGACAGGGCTTCTCTGAACAGTCCAGTCCTGGCTGTCCTGAAACTCACTTTGTAGACCAGGCTGACCTCGAAGTCACTGAGATCCACCTGCCTCTGCTTCCTAAATGTTGGTATTAAAGGCATTTGCCACCACCACCCTGTTCCAAAATGAGTTTTTAAAGTAAACTATATTATCAGCTTATGTTGTATGAGCTGTGTCCACAACATGATAAAACAAGGAAATGACATTAAAACACTGGAAGTGAGTACATGATATACCTATAATGTCTTCATGAAAGGTGGTGGTGCATGCCTTTAATTCCAGCACTTGGGAGGCAGAAGCAGGTGGATCTCTGTGAATTCAAGGCCAACATAGTCTACAAAAGAGAGTTCCAGGATAGCCAGAGCTGTTGTTACAGAGAAACCCTGTCTCAAAAATCAAAAAGCACACAAAAGTCGTCACGAAACCCATTATTATACCAATTTTTAAAAAAAAGTCACACTGAGGTACTGGAAAGATGTTTCAGCAGTTAAGAGCACTGCTGCTCTTACAGAAGACTTAAATTCAGTTTCCAGCACCTCCATGGTATTTCAGAACTGCCTGTAAGAATTCCTGGGGATCCAATATTCTCTCCTGTGCTTTACAGACATGGTACACAGACACACAAGCAGGCAAAACACTCATAAATCTTGAAAATATTTGTGTGCATACAAATCTATTTGTGTTAGCTTTTCATCACTATAATAGCTGACATAAAAGGTTTATTTTGGCTCAGTTTTAGAGGTTATAGCCTATGATCAGACAAACTCAGTGCTTCCAGGTCTCTGGTTGGTTTGCCAGATGGCAATAGCTGATGTACACATGATAAGACCAAACTGTTCACCTCAAGACCAGGAAGCAAGAGAAAAAACAGACCTGGAGTCCCACAATCCTCTCTGAAGTACATCCTCAAAATGATCTAAAGATTTCCCATAAGGCCCTACTTCTTAGTTTCTACTACCTTCCAATAATACCTCCCTGGAAGCAAACTTTTAGCCACATTAATCTTTGATGGCTACTTTATATTTTAACTTTTTATTTTGATAGATGAAGTCATACTATCAATATTCATGTATGTACATCAATTACCCGAAAGGGTAATCATATTGATGACATGAAATAAAAGAAAATCTGTATCTTTTTAATTTATCATACACTCTAACTCTAAGATGAAATCCAAATGCAACCACCATCTGCCAGGTAGACTTGTTTGTCCAAACCAACTGGAGACAGTAAGTAGAGAAAAAAAGACTGAATTCTCCCTCAGTGGCAGGGTTTCTTTATATAACCCTGGCTGTCCTGGAATTCACTCTGTAGCCCAGGTTGGCCTCACACGCAGAGATCCACCGGCCTCTGCCTCCCAAGTGCTGGGATTAAAGGCGTGCACCACCACCGCTCAGCATTAGGGAACATTTTTGGCTCTTGCAGAAGGCTGGGGTCTGGTTCCCAGCACCTTCATGGTGACTCAGTATCATTTAACTTCAATTCCAGGGGATCCACCAACCTACTCTGGCTTTTGTAGGCACCAGCACACACATAGTGAACGAACACACATGAACACACACACACACAGGAAACACCCATACAAATAAAAATAAATTAAAAAAGAAAGTGGAAGTAGAAAATTGACTCCCCAAGTTGTCCTCTTACTACAAGTCACCATGGCATATGCATACAGAAAAAAAATTTTTTTTCCCAGAAGAGTCTGTAACTATTTCCCATTCATATCAAATAATTCTGATTCACTCATGGCATGAGTGAATGTGTCTATATTTTAAAGAATATGTGCTTATATTTAAAGACTATCAAAAACTTCTATGTACTACAATGAATATCACATGGCGAGTCTAACTGTATACTGAGATTAGTTTTGGGTCAGCACTCTACCTCTTGTTCTCGTGACCGTTTCCGGAAATTCAAAGACGCTCCTGCCTGTGACGAAGGAGCAGTGATGGCAGCATCTCGAAATCCCTGAGGCTGCAAGATGAAGAATACACGAACACACTTAATGAACATTTAAAGTAAAAATTAATTTTCCAAATAGTTTTTAAATAACACTGAATAAGGATGTTCTCTAAGACTCCAATAGTTCAGTGATGAGGCCCAACACCCTTTTGCCCAAGTTAACAACAAAAAGTTCTCTAAAAAGAATCCTAGTAAGCGTTATGGTACCTGCCGAGAGAAGTGGAAAGTAGTCTGATCTGCTATTTATCTGCTTTACAAATCATCTTCACAATAAAATATTCTGTCTGGCATGTGGTATGCATCTGTAATAATAAGCCCTCAGGCAGCTGAGGCAGGAGGATCAAAAGTTCAAAGTCAGCCTGGACTATATATATAACAAGACCTCTTCTCAAAAAGACAAAACAACGGCAGGTTGGGGATAGTAAGGGCAGTGTAAACACTAAGTGAAGAATTCATTTTCAGAACTGCTTTCCATTGTTCTCTCTATCCTTACAAGATGGCTGCTTAGTGTGGTGGCTCACACCTTTAATTCTAGCACTCGGGAGGCAGAGGTAGGCAAATTTCTGAGTGTGAGGCCAGCCTGGTCTATAGAATAAGTTCTAGGACAGCGAAGGCTATGTAGAGAGACCCTGTCTCAAAAAAAAAGCAAGGGTTGGAGAGAATTGGCTCAGTAGTTAAGGGCACTTGTTCTTGAGAAAGACCCAGGTGGAGGCTCACCCTCCTTGGACACCAAGCACACAAATGGTATACAAATGATATATAAATTTTAAAAATAGGGGGCTGGAGAGATGGCTCAGTGGTTAAGAGCATTGCCTGCTCTTCCAAAGGTCCTGAGTTCAATTCCCAGCAACCACATGGTGGCTCACAACCATCTGTAATGAGGTCTGGTGCCCTCTTCTGGCCTGCAGACATACACACAGACAGAATATTGTATACATAATAAATAAATAAATATTAAAAAAAATTTTAAAAATATATTGAATAATGAAGCTCAAAGGTCATGATTAGCTTTGTAGTGAGTTTGAGGGTGACTTGGGCCTGGTGTCTAGTGATGTAAGTGTTCAGGAGAGTGACATTAAGTGTGACAGCTACTACAGACCAAATACTAACACCAGCATTATCCTTTCTTGCTGCTGATATTTCTGAAACAGGACCACATACTTTTTAGGCTGCTCTTGAACTACTGATCCCCGTCTACCTCAATCTCCTAAGTGTAGGCCATCATGTCCAGCTGTACCTTTTCCTTTCTGAAAACTTTTAACATAAAAGTCTGTAGAAGATTTTACAGATGCCATGAAACATAAATATTTCCTCTGTTTTCAAAGATAATTTTTTTCTTTTTCTTTTCTGGCTTTTTTTTTTTTTTTTTGGTTTTTTGAGACAGGATTTCTCTGTGTAGCCCTAGCTGTCCTGGAACTCACAGAGATCTGCCTGCCTCTGCCTCCCAAGTGCTGGGATTAAAGGCGTGCGCCACCACCGCCCAACTGTAACTACAGTATTCTGTTAGTACTGTTTTGGTGATGTTTTCCCACCAAAACTGTCTTCAAACATGCTTGCTGCTTATAAGATTAACAGAAACCATTTGTACATGACCCCTTCAGATATTTACTGCCCACCAACACCAAAACCCCACTCTGATTAAATAATACTAACTGTGATCTGAAATGGTATTGTGGACTCCTTCTGGCTTGGCGACTTGTACAATGTTGCAAATCTGTTTGAAGAAAAAAATACATATAAACATTACTTTAATAATTAGGTTGCATAGCTGATTTCATAATTTAAATGTGCAGAATCTTATCAAGTGTTCTCAAGAACATAATTGTAGAGAAATATTAAGAAACAGAAAACCTTCCCTCACAGGTTACCATGCGGATGCCTTTAGTTTCAAGTAGGCAGAAGTAGGATTTTTTTGAGCCCACAAGTTCAAGGCCAGTCTGTGTCTTAAAACAAACAAAATCCTTCTTTAAAAAGAGCCTATCTTAAAAAAAAACACAAAAAGCAAAATATAAAATCAGATGTTACTAGTCCATGAGATAATATCTAAGCTCAATTCATATTATAAATATTATTCAAGGTTTTAGGTTTTTCTGTTCATATTTAAAGTGTTCATTTTTATTATCAGTTTATAAATTATTTTCATATTTTTAAAATAAATTTCTAAAAAACATGAGAGTATACAACTTGATGGCAGAGTGTTTGCTTAGCATTTCCCAGGCCCTAATTCCCTAATATCAGTGGGGTACTTTTCTGGAAACTAAGCAAAAGTTTCAAGAATTAAGGCCATTCTATGCTATCTAGTAAGTTACAGGCCAGCCTGGGCTACTTGAGAGTCTATCTCAAAAACAAACAACAAATAAAAAGCATATAAGACTTCACGCAATCTTACGGATGGGCCCATAGCTCATCTATAGTAGGAGAGCTTATATTGAGCATGCTCAAAAGTCCTCGTTCAATTTCTAGTACCCAAAACCCAAACCAAACAAAACCACCATATTCCCCTAGAAGCAAATATTTCACAAAACTTAAAGACAATTTAGTTTCAAACAATAAACAAAAATATCTTGATTCTTTAGCGACTGAATTCTGATTATCATAATCTGATTGTCATATCTACAGACTTGAAATCAACAATTCAGAGGAAAAGCACTTCTACTAGGGAATAAAAGAATTGCATGCAATATTATAATTATCTTCTTGAAAAGTTCTTACAGGACAAAGGGAAAGAATTCATGCTGACCAAGTTAGGTTTTAGTGGCTGCACTGGTGCAGTCTTTTCCAACTGACTCACGCAGTCTCTACCTCCAGAGGCTACTGCACAAAGTCCGTGCCTTCCTTTCCCTTACAGCCACAGTAAGGGCTGGGGAGGTGGCTGCGGAGTGCAGAGCACTCGCTGCTCCTGCAGAGAACTCAGGTTCAGTTCCCAGTACCCACAGGGCAGCTCACAACCATTTCTAATTCCAGTTCCAGGGGATCCAGTGCCCTCTTCTGACCTCTGTGGGCACCGGACATGCAAAAATCGGCAGGAAGACTACTCACATCAAATAAATCCCTTTTTATTTGTTTTGTTTTGTTTTTTTCGAGACAGGGTTTCTCTGTGGTTTTGGTGCCTGTCCTGGAACTAGCTCTTGTAGACCAGGCTGGTCTCGAACTCACAGAGATCCGCCTGCCTCTGCCTCCCGAGTGCTGGGATTAAAGGCGTGCGCCACCACCGCCCGGCTAATAAATAAATCCCTTTTTAAAAATTAAATAAAGCTGGGAGTGGTGGTGCACCCCTTTAATGTCAGCACTCAGAAGGCAGAAGCAGGCAGATCTCTGAGTTCAAGGCCAGCCTGGGCTATAGAGCGAACTCCGTGACAGCCAGGGCTCCATTGACAGATAAATATATATATCCTCTCCACCCTCCAAAAAATTTTTTTCATGAAACAGAGTTTTATGATAAGGCTTTTTCTATTCTTTTTTAAGGACTCTTGCAGTCCTAGGCTGACCTGGAACTACACAGGCCATGTTAGCCTCGAACTCAGACTGTTCTCCTCAGTCCCGAGTGCTGGTATGTGCCAACATACCTAACCACAATATGAATTTGAAAGAGAATCAGAAGGTATGTAATGCAGCTTTCTAGGAATAAAATAAAAATATAGTATCGCTAAGCTCAATGCTGCCCTACAAACTGCCTCAGTTTCCTTCTTTATTAGAGCACTTCCACACTAAGTTCTCTAGGTTATGCCAATTAATCACAAAGCAGAAAGGCTGGCATAAATCTGTTATTTTTTTGAAGTTCAGAATAAAAGACTTCATAGCTTTCAGTGGCCTACTTTAAAGAAAAGGAAAGCAGGTCCATTCTCTTGCGCAGCAGCTTTAGAAACAAACACAAAGGCTCCATGCTGCCATGATTTTATTTTAAAGAATAATACTTGTGAAAGGCAGGTAAATACATGGGTAATAAAAGGGGAAAAAATGACAGACACAATTTCATGCAAGAACTATATTAAGCAACTAAGAAACACCATCCTATTTTCCACATGTATTAGTCCTAACGCTAACCTCAAAAGTTTTCATTTTGTCCTGATTTTATTCTTCAATCCTTTCTGGGAACGCAAAGTACCACCTCCTTCTTCATAGTTAATAAGGGATTTCAAAGAGTATCAGAAGGCAGCAATTCCTTAGCCACCTACATGTTCCAGGTGCATTCACCCCATCATTTAAATACACAAAGAATTCCCTGTGTAGCTGAATGTGCAGTACTAACAGTGTGTTTCTGTTTTCTATAACTGATGTCAAACAAGGCAACAAAAGCAGTGGTTTATGGGTCACTGCAAATCTCAAGCTGAGGACTAATGCTAAGAACCATTAAGTACTCAGTGTAATTAGACTAATATTCTGAATTATGAACTTATTTCTATACTGACCTTTGCGTTTGTTCCCAATGAAAAATAAGCCTTATCGTAGCAGCGTGCCCCCAGCTGTCCCCTAAACAAAGAATTAACTATATAATACCTTTAGAATTTTCAAGTTGCTTAGAAGGTCTCTGGCCAAATACAATCTTAGATTACCAAATTTAGAATAAAAATATTCTTGAGCCGGGCGGTGGTGGCGCACGCCTTTAATCCCAGCACTCGGGAAGCAGAGGGAGGTGGATTTCTGTGAGTTCAAGGCCAGCCTGGTCTACAAGAGCTAGTTCCAGGACAGGCACCAAAAACTACAGAGGGGCTGGAGAGATGGCTCAGAGGTTAAGAGCACTGACAGCTCTTCCAGAGGTCCTGAGTTCGATTCCCAGCAACCACATGGTGGCTCACAACCATCTGTAATGAGGTCTGGTGCCCTCTTCTGGCCTGCAGGCATACACACAGACAGAATATTGTATACATAATAAATAAACAAATATTTAAAAAAAAAAACAAACCAAAAAAGAAGCCGGGCGGTGGTGGCGCACGCCTTTAATCCCAGCACTCGGGAGGCAGAGGCAGGTGGATCTCTGTGAGTTTGAGACCAGCTCTGGTCTACAGAGCTAGTTCCAGGACAGGCTCCAAAGCCACAGAGAAACCCTGTCTCGAAAAAAAAAAAAAAAAAAAGGGGCTGGAGAGATGGCTCAGTGGTTAAGAGCATTGCCTGCTCTTCCAAAGGTCCTGAGTTCAATTCCCGGCAACCACATGGTGGCTCATAACCATCTGTAATGAGGTCTGGTGCCCTCTTCTGGCCTGCAGACATACACACAGACAGAATATTGTATACATAATAAATAAATATTAAAAAAAAAAACTACAGAGAAACCCTGTCTCGAAAATTAAATAAATTAATTAACTAATTAATTAAATAAAATAAAATTCTTGGACCAGGTGGGGTAGTGGATGCCTTTAATTGCAGCTCCCAAGAGGCAGGTGGATCTTTTTGAGTTCAAGGTCTACAGAGCGAGTTCCAGGAAAGCCAGAGCAGTTACACAGAAAAACCCTGTCTTGAGAAACTAAAAAAAGAAAAGAAATATAAAATAATAAAGTATTTAGTTAAAAAAATAATATTCTTGGTTTTGACCAGGCAGAGGTGGTGTATACCTTTAATCCTAACACTTAGGAGGCAGAGGCAGGGGAATCTCTGGGTTTGAGGCCAGCCTGGTTTAAAGAGTGAGTTTCAGAACACACAGGGCTACACAGAGAAACCCTCTCTGAAAAAACAAAGTATAAACAAAGCAAACCAAAGAATGTTCTTGGTTTCAAAACCTGTGGCACATGAGGAAGATCCTAAGAGTGATAGAGTTTTACTTCTCCAGGAGAGCAATGCAAATCATTGTCCTCTATTTGCTCCATGAAAAGATTATAGTTTCAGTATATTATCCACCTTCCATTCTATAAGGCCTACTATGTATTTTTGACACCCAGTAACAGGGTCTCATTATGGTTCTGATCGACCTGGAATTTGATAGTTAGACCAGGATGGCCTTGAATTTAGAGAACCCAGTCTGCTGCTGCCTCTGGAGTGCTGGGATTAAAGACAAGTCACCAAGGAGGTTTCATTATGCAGTCCAGGCTTTCCCTGGATTTCTGGGCTAAAGTTCCTCCTACTTCAGCCTCATGAAGAGCTGGGACTACAGTTCTGTATCACCATGTTTGGCACACAGAGTATTATTGGGTTTCAATAATACTTCAAGATAGATCTTGAAACATTGTGTTCTAATAAAATCACATTAGAAATATAGTCATGCTGGGCGGTAGTGGCGCACGCCTTTAATCCCAGCACTCCGGAGGCAGAGGCAGGCGGATCTCTGTGAGTTCGAGATCAGCCTGGTCTACAGAGCTAGTTCCAGGACAGGCTCCAAAGCCACAGAGAAACCCTGTCTCGAAAAATCAAAGAAAATAAAAAAAAAATAGAAATATAGTCATGGACTGGAGAAATGGCTCAGTAGTTAAGAGCACAGACTGTGCTTCCAGAGGTCCTGAGTTCAACTCCCAGCAACCACATGGTGTCTCACAACCACCTATAACGAGATCTGGTGCCCTCTTTTGGAGAACACTGTATACATAATAAATAAATCTTAGAAAAAAAAGAAATATAGTCATACCTGTTTGCACTGGTGTGATTTTTATTTAAATAGACCCCTTTCCTCCTCCTTTCCTGCCTAAGACCGTGGGCTTAGGTTTTTTTAAATTTCTTTTTTTATTTTAAGCAGTCAGTGCTCTTAATGGCTAAGCCACCTCTCTAGCTCCTAAGACTGAGGGGTTTGTTTGCTTGTTTTTTGAGACAGGATTTCTCTATGTAGCCCTGGCTGTCCTGGAACTCTGCAGACCAGGCTGGCCTCAAACTCAGAGATCTGTCTGCCTCTGCCTCCTGAGTGCTGGAATTAAAGGTGTGTGCTACCACTGCCCAGCAAGACTGAGGTTTTAATGTCTAGAATCCTATTTTGAATATTTATTTCTCAGGTTTCTAACACAGCTGCCAGAAAGCAGATACTCAATAAATGTGTTAAATTATGAAAGGATTAGTCGGTATCTCAGGACACTGCACTTAGTGAGCAGATGAGTCAGTGGATTAGCAGTCTCTGCTTTCAAAGCTTATAGTATTCAAATGACAAGGTAGGAAAATATTAAAATGAAAATGTTTTATCTAATTCATTTACCCACCTAATGCAGGAACAAGTAATGCTTGACTTTTATCAATCTTTGTTGTTATCTGATTTGTTAAAATAACCTATAAGAGCAAAACATAAGAAAGTTAGGACAATGGTGGTGCATGCCTTTAGTCCCAGCATTTGGGAGACAGAGGCAGGTGGATCTCTATGAGTTTGTGGCCAGCCTGGTCTACACAGCTAGTTCCAGGGCAGCCAGGGCTACATAGAGAAACCCTGTCTCGAAAAACAAACAAAAAGTACGTAAACAGTCCTATGAGATAATATTCTGAATATAACAAGTTAAAGAAAATATATTAGAGGCTAAAGAGATGACTCAAATTCAAGACCCAGATTCAATTTCCAGAACTCACATGGTGGCTCACAATTTTTAACAGTGGTTCTCAACATTCCTAGTGCTTTGACCCTTTAATACAGTTCTCATGTTGTGGTGACCCCCCCAACCATAAAACTATTTTTGTTGCTATTTCTTTCTTTATTTTTCACCCCCAGACAGGATTTCTCTGTGTTACAGTCCTCTGTATAACTCACTCTGTAGACCAGGCTGGCCTCAAACTCACTGAGATCTGCCTGCCTCTGCCTCCCAAATGCTGGGATTAAAGGTGTGCGCCACCACTGCCCAGCTTCATTGCTATTTCAGGCCTATAATTTTGCTACTGTTATGAATCATAATGTAAATATCTGTGTTTTTGATGGTCTTGAGGGGGTTATGACCCACAAGTTGAGAAGTGATTTATAACTTCAAATCCAGAAACCTGAAACCCTCTTATGGCCTCCTCTGGCACCAGGCACACATGTGGTACACAGACATACATGCAGGCAAAACACTCATACACACAAACTAAATAAAGCTCTTTAAAATACATTTTTTTTTCTAAATAAAGGCGAAGAGATGGAGATTTGCTCATTTGTTTGAAATTTTAAAAATAAAAATTTTCTGTACTTACCTGCAAACATGTGTTATCAGAAAACATGATAAGAAAAATCTGAAGGAACAAAGAATTCTTATTCTTTTATTTATTTTTCATTTTTTAAGACAGGGTTTTTCTTTTTAACTAGCTGTCCTGGAACTCACTCTGTAGACCACCAGGCTGGCCTCGAACTCAAGAGATTCACCAGCCCGACTCTCAGGTGCTGATATTAAAGGCAACTCCAGGCCTTTTTTTTTTTTTTTAAGACAGGGTTTCTCATTGAATCTAGGATTCTTCTTTGAGTTTGGCTGGCTGGCGGGCAAAACCAAAGAATCCCCTGTGGAAATCCTTTCTGTGCCCTCACCTTCACAATCCTGGGATTACAGGAGTGTAGTGCCATGTTCGGCTTTTATGTGGGTGCTGGGGTATTGAACTCAGGTCTTCACGCTACCAAAGCAAATACTTTATTCACTGAGCCATCTCTCCAGTACCTGCACTTTTTAAAATTCAAATCTTGGGGCCTAGTGGCATATGCCTTTAGTCCCAGCACTTGGGGACAGAGGCAGGCATATATCTCTATGAGTTTGAGGCCAGCCTGGTCTATATAGAGAGTTCAAGGGCAACCAGGGATAGATAGACCTATCTCAAAAAATAACATCAAAATTTTAGCCAAATATGGGTGGTACATTCCTTTGGTCCTAGCACTTAAGGAGAAGCAAGCCATAATGCCATACCTTTAAATGCTTTTTTTCTTTTTGGTTTTTCCAAGATTGGGTTTCGCTGTAGTTTTGGTGCCTGTCCTGGAACTTGCTCTGTAGACCAGGCTGGCCACAGACTCACAGAGATCTGCCTGCCTCTGCCTCCCAAATGCCGGGATTAAAGTCGTGAGCCACCACCACCTGGCATATCTTATACATTTTTATAAACTGCCTTGGTCAGGGAGGTACTGGAGGAGAGGAGGAAGGGGAAACTTTGGTAGGGATAGAAAAACAAAAATACATAAAGTATTCCAAATTTGCCTTAGTCATGGTACTTCTGTCACAGCAATATAAAGGTAAGACAGCAAGGCATAGCGGTACATTCATTTAATCCCAGCACTTTAGAGGTAGAGGCAGGAGCAAAAAGATCTGTTTGATATCAGCCTGGGGACACGAGTTTCCGAACAGACAGAGCTACATAGTAAGACCTTGTCTCCAAAAAAATTTAAAAAGGGTAAGAATTTAGTGTCATCCTTAGATGTATAGTGAATTCAAAGTCCTGAATTTCAGAGCCCTGAAAAAACAAAAACCCAAGCCACTAGCCACCATCTTTAATCCCAGTATTGGTAGTTCCAATGCCCTCTTCTGGCCTCCTTGCACACAGCACTGACACGGTACACAGACATACATGCAGGTACAGCACCCATGCACATACAAAAGACTTAAAAGAAAAAGCACCAGGCAGTGGTGGTGAATACTTTTAATCCCAGTGCTTGGGAAGCAGAGGCAGGTGGATCTGAGTTCAAAGACAGCCTGGTCTACAGAGAGAGTTCTAGGACAGCCAGGGTTACAATAGAAAATCCCTGACTCAAAAAACAAACAAACCAAAACCAGACAAACACAAAAAAACCTAACTAAGGCAGACAGCGACTGAGAAGAATAATAGTGCTGACCTCTGGGCTCCACAGGCAAATGCACACTGTACATGGGCCTCCATGTGTACACACAAACCAAAACATATACATAAAAGAGAAAGGGCTAAATTAAAATAGGGCAGGGGACATACTTCAATGGCAGAATGTTTGTGTAGTATGTCTGAAGTCTTGGGCTAGAGGAGCAGCACCAGCAGCAGCAAAATAACAGAACAAGAAAAACCCACCATAACCTAGGAAACTGTAACACTCTGCAGCCTATTTGTCTTGAGTGCCCTCTACTGGGGGATCTTCAGGATACCAGCACTAAGGATGCTAAATTACAATTAGCAGTAAGAAAGGGCACTATGCTTTAGCAAAAAGGATATGGCAAGATATGGTAAGATGGTAAAGTGGTACTCAGTGGGTAAAGGCACTTTCCATGCAGTCTGACAACTTAGGTTTGATCTCTGGGAAAACATAGTGGAGAGAACTGGCTTTAATCCTAGCACTGGGAGACAGAGGTAAGAGGATGTCTGTAAGTCTGAGGCCAGTCTGGTTTACAGAGTGAGTTCCAGGACAGGCTTCAAAGCTATCCTATCTCAAAAAACATTTAAAACAAAACAAAAAAAAAAAAAACAGAGGGGCTGGAGATGGTTCAGAGGTTAAGAGCACTGACTGCTCTTCCAGAGGTCCTGAGTTCAATTCCCAGAAAACACCTGGTGGCTCACAATCATCTGTAATGAGATCTGGTGCCCTCTTCTGGCCTGCAGGTATAACACTGTATATATAATAAATCCATAATATTTTTTTTAAAAAGATTAAGATTTGGAAACACAAAGAAAAAAATGTATGGTTTTAATTTTACAGAGGAAGTTTTTTATTTACATTTGGTGTATCACAGGTATGTGTTAACAATTTCCCTTAAAAGGTTAAAAAAAAAAAAAAGCCGGGCAGTGGTAAACGCCTTTAATCCCAGCACTCCTGAGGCAGAGGCAGGTGGATCCCTGTGAGTTCAAGGCCAGCCTGGTCTACAAAGGGAGTTCCAGGACAGGCTCCAAAGCTACAGAGAAACCCTGTCTCGAAAAACCAAAAAAAAAAGGTTAAAAAAAACGAGGGTAACTCAGCATTTTTATTTTTGTCAATGGGAAGATGTGTTTGCAGAGTGAAAATTAATGGCAAACAGGTAACCCTGCACTCTTTAGTTCACATATATTTGCCTACCGTGCATGAGGCTCTGGGTCTAATCTACTCATGCAAAATATGAATAAATTTAAACATTAATTTTTTTGTTTTATTTTGTTTTTCAAGACAGGGTTTCTCTGTGCAGCCTTGGCTGTCCTGGAACTCACTCTGTAGACCAGGTTAACCTCGAACTCAGGGACCCACCTGTCTCTGCCTCCCGAGTATTGGGATTAAAGGTGTGCATCACCACCACTGCCCAGCCAGACATTAATATTTCATACAGTCTTAGCTATAAAATTCTTCTAATAATACTTACAGCTAATCTGTGATTGTTTGCGAGGCTGATCATTTGTTGGGCTAGGCCATTCAGTAACCGCGTACGAAGGGACAGATCATCAAAGTCATGACGGAAAGGAAAAGCAATGCCATCGATTATCACTAACTGCACCTAAACACAGGAGAATGAAATTGGTTTTGGAGTTACAATTACAATGAACATATCCCATTACAAAAATGAACCTTAAAAAAGAAATCAGGTCGGGTCGGGTGGCACAGGCCTTTAATCCCAGCATTCAAGAATCAAAGACAGGTAGATCTCTTTTTGAGGCCAACCTAGTCTACAAAGCAAGATCCGGGTCAGCCAGGACTGTTAGAGAAAGCTTGTTTGAGGAAAAAACAACTCCCCATCAAAAAAGAAAAAAAAAAAAAAAAGAAAGCCATCTAGCTTGCTAGCTGAACATTTTTGATGCAGTTGGAGAGATGGCTCAGCAATTGAGTGTACATTGCTCTTAAAGAAGATGCAAGCTGGGCGGTGGTGGCGCACGCCTTTAATCCCAGCACTCGGGAGGCAGAGGCAGGCAGATCTCTGTGAGTTCAAGACCAGCCTGGTCTACAAGAGATAGTTCCAGGACAGGCTCTAAAACCAGAGAAACCCTGTCTCGAAAAACTGAAAAAAAAAAAAAAAAAGAAGATGCAAGTTCAGTTCCTAGTACCCATGTCAGGCAGTTCACAACTTCCTATAACTCCAGGTATCTGTCTAGGGGATCCAATGCTCTCCTCTGGCCTCCAGTCCCTTGCACAATTAAAAATAAAGAGTTTTCTTTTATAATGCTAGGAATTAAACCTATGGCCCACAGATGGTAAACACTCTACTACTGAGCTATATACCTCATCCTAGGGTTTTATTTCTAATTCTTCAAAGGTTTCCTCTTAAAATTCATTTTATAATTCTATGTGTATTAGTTTTGCCTCCATGTATGCCTGTGCACCATGTTTGTGCCTAGTACCTGTGAAGGCCAGCAGAGGGCAAGGGATCCCTTAGAACCAAATTTACAGATGGTTGTGAGCCACTATGTGGGTGTTGGCATTCCAACTCTGAAGAGCAGTCAGTGTTCTTAACCATCTCTCCGGCCCTCAAAGGCTTTCTTTCTTCTGCAAAGTATCACCCAATGATTCTACATGAATCATCACCTGAATACTAGCATTGCATGCACATGCAAGGTTCAAGCTTCATTTCTGTTGCTGGAGATGGCTCAGCAGTTAAGAGCACTGGCTGCTCTTCCAGAGGACCCAAGTTCAATTCATAGCACCCACATGGCAATTCACAATCTTCTTTAACTCCAGTCCCAGGAAACCAGTGCTCTGTTTCAGGCCTGTGTGGACATTGCACATACATGGTACACAGACATAAATGCAAGCAAAATGCCCATATATACATTAATAAAAAATTAACCAAAAAATCATATGGTGTGGTGGTTTGAATGAATATCCCCGAGAGTCTAGTATCTGAATACTTGGTTCCCAGTTGGTAGCGAGCGCTTTTTGGTAAGGCTTAGGAAGTATAGCCTTGCTAGAGGAAGTACATCACTGGGGACAAGTTTTGAGGTTTCAAAGCCATGTACCATTTCCAGTGTGTTCTCTCTACTTCTGGATTGCAGTTAAATATGTAAGCTCTCAGCTGTGCCATCTCTGATGCTATGATTCCCTGCTATGATGGACTCTTAACCCTTTGCAACCAAAATGTCTGTGTGTCGTCACAGGAACAGCAAACTCACTGTAAGACACCCCACACAGCCACAGAAATCTTGAAACTCACTGTAAGACTCCCCACACTGCCACAGAAATCTTTAAAAGAACAAAGTTAAGAGGATTCTTGTTTCCTAATTTCAGAATGTACTACAAAGCTATAGTAACCAAAACAGTCTAAAAGTAGCTGAGAACCTGTGGTAGAACACTTGCCTCACGCGGATCAGACTTTAACTTTGAGCCCTAACAAAAACAAAGAAACAGAGAGAGTGACTAAGGAGAGGTAAACCAATTGAAATTAAAAAAACAGTAGAACAAATGCCAGGCATGGTGGCACACACCTTTAATCATAGCACTCAGAAGGCGGAGGCAGATGGAACTCTGAGTTTGAAGCTAGCCTGGTCTACAGTACAAGTTCTAGGACAGCCAGGGCTACACAAAGAAACTTTGTTTCAGAAAAAAATTAATTAAATAAATAATAATAATAAAAATGAAACAGGCTGAATATGGTAACAAAAGCCTGTATCCTGGCACTTGAATGAAGACAGAATGATTGAGAATTCAAAGTCAGCTGAGCAGTGTGGCCCCCACCTTTAATCTTAGCACTCTAGAGGTGGAAGCAGGTAAATCTCAAGGCTAGACTGGTCTACAATGTGAGTTCCAGGACAGCCAAGGCTACACAGAAAAACCTTGTCTAAAAAAAAAAACAAAATAAAACCTGTAAGCTAGGCGGTGGTAGCACACGTTTAATCACAGCACTGGGGAGGCAGAATAGGTCGATCTCTGTGAGTTCAAAGCCAGCCTGGTCTGCAGAGCAAGTTCAAGGACAGGCTCCAAAGCTACACAGAGAAACCTGTCTCAAAAACCCAAAAACAAAAAAACAAGACCAAAAAACCATAACCTATACATAAGAATATATATTTTGCTATGTATATAGTATATATGTGCAAAAAATAGAGTAAAATAAGTAAGTTGCAGGGCAGGGACATCAAGTTTATGCTACACTTTATTTTTGAATTATCAACACTTCCAAAGACTTTATTTCAGTAGTATGACCGATACCTTTGAGTGATCTGAAAGGAAATCTGGAAGGAGATAGGCTTGTGCCAGCAGCTCAGTGTAATCATGACAACGGAAATAATAAATATGGGAAAGAATATTTTCAAGAGTGAAATCCTCCAAGGCTTTCTGATGTTCTGAAACAAACAAAGCAATCTGAAAACAGTTTAGTTTTTCTTTTCCTAAATGTCTGACAATCACAGATACGTTATTTGTACCCTTGTAAAACAACATCACATCTAAAAGATGACAGAACCACTGCAGAATCGCCGTAAAATGTGCTTTGTTGACTGCTGATCTTATTGTTTTTTAATGTTTTCTACTGTTTTTTTCTTTCTTTCTTTCTTTCTTTTTTTTTTTTTTTTTTTTTTTGGATTTTCGAGACAGGGTTTCTCGGCAGCTTTTTGGTTCCTGTCCTGGAACTAGCTCTTCTAAACCGGCTGGCCTCGAACTCACAGAGATCCGCCTGCCTCTGCCTCCAGAGTGCTGGGATTAAAGGCGTGCGCCACCACCGCCCGGCTCTACTGTTTCTTTAAGAGTTCTTGCTGCTCTGGCAGAGGACCCAGGTTTGGTTCCCAGCACCCTCATAGCAGCTTACCCTAACTCTAACCATCCACAGCGCCAGTTCCAAGAGAGCTGATGTCACTTTTTGGTTTCCATGAACATCAGGTACAGGCATGGTGTGCTGACATGCAGACAAAATACCTAATCACATTAAAATATTTTTTAAAAAATACATTTTAAAATGCAACAATTAGTTTCTTATTTCAAAACCAAAGTTACTTTATTGTCTTTGATTGTATGTGTAATATACTAGGGATTATTTATTCACAAATAAACAAAATTCTTACTGTTTATCTCCAGCTATTGATTTCCACTGAACAGAAGTATCACGATTCAAGTTTCTCTTTCTTGTTTTTGAAGAATACAAATTAAGAATTCAAAGGAAAATCCAGGGGCTGGGGGGTGTGGCTCACACCTTTAATTCTAGCACTTGGTGGGCAGAGGTAAGCAGATCTCTGAGTTCAAAGCCAGCCTGATTTACAAACTGAGTTCCAGGACAGTCAGGGCTACACAGAGAAACCCTGTATTGAAAACAAAACAAAACAAAAGCAAAAACCACAAGATTTTAAAAGAAAAATGTCCCAATGGAGTGTATTTTCCCTTTAACACTCTGATCTTTGAGTAGTAACACTATGAAATCTTAACACTGGATTTTAAAACATCAGTATGGTTTGGTATGGTTTTAAAAAGTCAGTATGCTTTAGAATTTAAGGCCACCTTAGTCTACACTGAAAGTACTGAGACAGCCATGCTTAAAAAAATAAAAATAAATTTTAAAAAAAGCGGGTAGGGTGCTTAGAAAGATGGCTCAGTAGTTAAGAATACTGGCTGTTCTTCCAGAGCAATCAGGTTTGAGTCCTAGAACCTACATGGCAGCTCACAACAGACTGTAATTCAAGTCCGAGGAGATCTGATGCCCTCTTCTGGCCTCCAAAGGCAATGTATACATACAGTGCATTCATACATTCAGGCAAAACACCCAAACACATAAAAGAAAATAAAGCGAGTTTGGCTTTGAAATGAGAAACTAATTACCACATTCTAAAATGTATTTTTTTAAAAAAATTTTAACATGATTAGGTGTTCTGCTTGTATGTAAGTGCACCTTGTGTGTGCCTTGAGCCCACTGAGGCCAGAACTGGAGCTGTGAAGAGTTGTGTGCCTCCATGAGGTGCTGGGAACCAAACCGAGATCCTCTGCAAGAGCAGCAGGAGCTTTTAATGAATGAACTCTCTCTGTCCTATGATGTTTGTGATGGCTGACAAGATGACCGGAGTTCAATCTCTGGGATCCACACAGTAGGAGGAACAACTCAAATTCTCTCTGATCTCCACACATGAGCATACACACTAAGTAAAATGAGATGTTTTTTAAAAGATTTATTTATTTATATATATGGTGTTTTGTCTACATGTATGTCTGCACACCAAAAGAAGGCACGTCCCATTATAGTTGGCTGTGAGCTGCCATGTGTTGCTGGGACATGAACTCAGGACCTCTGGAAGAGCAGGTAGTACTTTTAACGACTGAGCCATCTCTCCAGCTCAACAAAAGTCAGAAACTGTTTAACTTGGGAGTTTCAGACCAGCTAACCTACGTAGTTCCAGGCCAATTTGGGTTACAGAGTAAGATCCTGTCTCAAGAAGCCAAATAAAAAACGACTTATGCTATAACATTACAAAACAACCCCTCCCGTGTGTATGCACAAGTGCGTGTGTGCAGAGATTCACTCACAGAGAACGGGCTGGAATGATGTTAAGTGATAGAGTGCTTGACTAACATTTCCAAGGCCTTGGGTTTGATCCCCAACATTGCAAAAATAAACAACAAAACAAAGTAAACAAAACATCACAGAAAAATTATCTGCACCCAGCAGCTCACAGCTGCAGTCCCAGCAGGTGGGAAAAGGAGGCAGGAGGCTCAGTGCCAGATCATCCTCAGGCATACAGCAGTACAAGGATATCCTGGGAACTAGACTTCAGGTTAGTAAACTCTGGCCTCTTCCAATATACACTAAATTAGTAAAAAAACAAAACAAACAAACAACCTTTAATTTTTCTCATGCACCAATCATTAAAGCCTTCACATCCCAGTGCCTCAGCACCTCTTCTGTCCATACAGGACTTCCAAGGACAGATTGGGTAAGACTTTTTTTTGGTTTTTCAAGACAGGGTTTCTCTGTGGTTTTGGCGCCTGTCCTGGAACTAGCTCTTGTAGACCAGGCTGGTCTCAAACTCACAGAGATCCGCCTGCCTCTGCCTCCCGAGTGCTGGGATTAAAGGCATGCGCCACGACTAGACATTTTAGACAGAATTATTTTGTCTACCTTTCCAGAATCTCTACTGAAAAGATATAACAAAAAAAATCTGTTTTTGTTTGTAATGAACTGTGTGTGTCTGTTTATGCAAACGCCACAGTGCATCTGTGGATTTCAGGGGACAATTTTCAGTTCTCTTCTTCTGTTATAGCAGTTCTAGAGGTCAAATTCCATTATCAAGCTTGGTGACAAGCACCTTTACCTGCTAAGCCATCGCACTGGCCAAGGTGCTTACCTTCTCAATTACTTTAAAAGTAAGTCTGTTGTGCTGGATAGGTGACTCAGTGGTGAAGGACATGAGCTGTGCTAGGTGTGGTGCTGAGTGCCTTTAATCCCAGCACCTGGGAGGTTTGGCAGGCAGACCTCTGGGAGTTTGAAGCCAACCTGGTCTATAAAGTGAGTTACAGGACAGCCAAGACTGTTACACAGAGAATCCCTGACTTGAAAAACCATTAAAAAAATTAATTAAATTTAAAAGAGCAATGGCTGCTAAGTTGGGTACGACACAGGTCTGCTATCCCAGCATTCTGGAGACTGAGGCAGAATGATCACAGACAGCTAGGCTTCAGGGAGAGTACTGTTAACTAGGCAGAAGCTTCAAGTTTGGGACAACCTCTTACTGAAGTCTGAAATGGCACAAATACAAACTGTCTTTCTCTTACAGAAGGAGCACTTTGTGCTAACTCACCTTCGTCCATGTGTGCTCCTGCTATAAGGCGAAGGTGTTGAATGCAGGCAGTTGCAAGGGTTGCCACTCTATCAACCATAAAACTTCCCTCTGTGTCAATAAATACTGCCTCACCAGCCACTCCTCCAAAACATTCTGGAATCTGCACATCCACTGCCAATTGCATACTGTCAAGAAATGACCAAATCATTATCATAACTATCAAAATGTCTTTTGTAAACTGTGTCTAATCATCAGCTAAACCATCAAGTTTTCTAAATACAAAAGTAATACCCCAAGGCAACAGAGATGGCTAACTCTCCATAGCTCCAAATACCTATGAATCCATAGATGCCTAGATTATAGTGCAGATATTACACAAAATTACCATTAAGTAACTCTTTGTGGTTTTTAGGTTTCTAGGAATTGGTTTATATTTTCTCCCTTTTTCTGAGTTAGGTTCTGGAAATGTAGCCCAGGCTGAACCTTCAACTCTCAATCCTTCTATCTCAATCTCCAGCCTTACTGCTATATTTACAGGATTGTGTCACTACACCCAAGTAGACATACTTTTTTTTAAAGATTTATTTATTTGAGCCAGGTGGTGGTGGTGTATGCCTTTAGTTCTAGCACTTGGGAGGCAGAGACAGGCAGATCTCTTAAGTTTGAGGCCAGCCTAGTCCAGGACAGTCAAGGCTACACAGATACAAAGATAAACCCTGTCTTGAAAAACAAATAAAAAAAAAAGATTTTATATATATAGTATTCTGTCTGCATGTTTGTGAGCCACCATGTGGTTGCTGGGAATTGAACTCAGGACCTCTGGAAGAACAGTCAATGCTCTTAACCACTGAACCATCTCTCCAGCTCAACATACTTTTTTTTTGTTGTTGTTGACACCAGGTCTTACTATATATCCCTGGCTGGTCTAACAATTGTTATATAGTTCAGACTGTCCTCCAACTCATAGCAATCCTGCTTCAGTATCCTGAGTGATGAAATTATAGGAGTATGTTACCAAGCCTGGTTCAGGATTCTTTATCATATATAAATCAACTTTAAAACATCTGACAAATATATCTCAGAAGCTAACTATTAGGAGAGAATCTGCTTACTGTAGTGATTATATTGCATTATAAAAGAAACATTTCTGACATCGAAGCTGCTCTATCCCTTCACTAAGATGGTACCTGAGATAATATGAACAGTAAGCTGATGGTTTGTTGCAGGAAGTAGTAACACACACTTTTTGGTATTCTGATTACAAACTCACAGCACAATACTCTATTAGTTACATAAAACACTAAGTCCATACTTAAGAAGAGAACGTTCTTATTTTACCATAATTGTGTTTTCCCAACACCTGGTACACCACAAACTTCTGTCGTTTTCGTTAGGGGTATTCCACCCCCGAGAATGTTATCTAGGGCTGAACAGAAGGTGATTATGAAGCCCTGGGTGTGTTCCTGTTCAAGAAGTTCCAGGGCTGTGCACTTCTTGACTCTCAAGGAAGTACCAGCACATCTTGGTTTATCTGCGAGACATTCTCTTCTTACAATCTGTAGAGTTTCTAAAGCTTCCTCTTTGGATATCCCAACTTCTGAAAAAAAAATCGGGGGGTGGGGGGAACTGACATTAGAGATTTAAAAGTCACAGAGCTGAATGTGGTGGCTCACACCTCTAATCTCAGCACTAGCAAGTTCCAGGATAGCCAGGACTACACAGAGAAGCCTTGTCTCAAAAACAACCAAACAAAAGTCTACCTCGGTGATGAATTAGCACATTAACTTCAAGGTTTATTTAATGGCTGATCAAGCCCAGGGTCTTAGGCACGAGCAGCTAGTTAGTGCTCCACCTCTTAGTTACTGTCCTGTTAGCAACATTACTGCTACTAAAACTTAAAAATTAGACTAGGGGTGTGGCTCTAATTTTAAGTAGAGGGTTTAACTAGCATTTGCAAAGCTAATTGCAAAGCATTACCAAACACTTAAACAAAACAAAACATTACATTCTGTCCTCTTTAGTGAACAGCAAAGAGCTCGGCACACTATTGGTGGCACAGTGGATGACGCCAGCTTTACTTTTGTGTACATTAAGGATGCACACTTAATGTACACACTAAATGTAATCTGAAGAGCTCTGAAAAAACTGTTTGGGGTATTCCGTGAATCATAAAGGGCGTCCGTCGTCTTTCTAGGGCTTTCTCCTATTCCTTTCTCACTGAAGCCTCTCCGTTCCTACTGAATCCTTCAACTCTTGAATTCAATTTCCATTCCCCCCTCCCAGAATCTTGGAACTGTGAGAATTACATGGCTTGTCTGTTTTCCAATTCTAGAGCCATTATTACGCAACTCAGATGAAAAATTGTTCTTTTAAAAAAAAATAATAAAAATTGGTTTTTTCATCTACAGATTAAACACTCTGGTCCAAGAGACTTCCCTTGAGCGTAAGTGACGCAGTCCTCAAAGCATCCAGGAGGCGCGCGGACACAGAAAGCAATCAGTCAATGTTTTTCCACATAGTTCCAACCACAAGCGAAGAGTCGCTTTACGTCGTCAACACGGTGGTGGGGGAAGGAAGACGGAGGCGGCGCCAGGCGGCCGCGGTGCATCAGCTGGCCGCCGGGAGTCGTTACCTTTGCTGAGCTCAGAGGGCTTCACCTCCAGGATGTCCTCGGCAGTCTGGAGCCCTGAAGCCACCAGCTTCACGCGCACCGCGGGAGACAGCGGGAAACTCACTAATTCCCGCTGCATTTTGAAAGCGCAGAGCCTACGCACCGGTGACGTAGAGCGAGAAGCGCGCGAAGCCCTCGTTGCCCAAACCCCGCCCGGCCCATGCCGTGTGACGTCAGGCGCACGGCGGAAGGGGCGGGGCTCGCGCGGCCTAGCCTTAGGAAGCCCTGCTGTAGGGGACTTCCCCCAAGTACTCGTGTGTTTTCCTCTAGGACTCCTCTGAAGCACTTTGTGGGGTCCCCTTACCAAGGGTATAGCTTGACAGGAAAAAAGCGAGGCTAGAGACGTGAGGATGGTGATCAGGCCCAGTGGTCCCCGGATCACCATGCCGTGTTTCCCCTCCTCGCCCTGGCCTGTTTCATGGGTCTGAGTCTCTTAATGAGAAATCATCTCCCAGCGGGGCAGTGGTGCACGCCTTTAATCCCAGCACTCGGGAGGCAGAGGCAGGTGGATCTCTGTGAGTTCGAGGCCAGCTTTGTCTACAAGAGCTAGTTCCAAGGCAGGCGACAAAGCGACGCAGAGAAACCCTGTCTGGAAAAAAAAAAAAAAGCAGCAGCAGCAGTTGAATACTGGTCAGTTGCCAATTTCTTGCTGTGAAAAATTCAGAGCACTTTTTTGCTTTGTTTTGCTTTTTGTTTTTCAAGACGGGGTTTCTCTGTAGCTTTGGTGCCCGTCCCGGAACTAGCTCTGGAGGATTCTAACACCCCATTGGCGTGAAGTTGCCTGAGGTTAGGGATGTCTTCTCTAGAGCACTAAAGCAAACACCTGAGGGAAATACTCTTTGTTGTTTTGAGACAGGTCTCATTTAGAAGAGGGTGGCCTCACACAATATATAGTCAGTAATGGCCTCTTTGAGTACTGAGTTCTGAGATTATAAGTAGCCACCACAGCACTGGAGAGCAAACCCATGGCATGCTAGGCAAGCAACCATTCCGCCTACTGAACTGTGTTCTCAGACAAGACAGAACATAGTTTCTTTGGTACACATGTGTGTATGCACATGACTGGAGAGGCCATAGGCCAAAGTGCCAATGTTTGGGAGTTGTAGGGATGTTTTCTGTTTATTAGGTGTTGGTTTTTATTGTTATTTTGAGACAGGGTCCCACTTTGTAGCCCTGGCTAACCAGGATTTGTAGACAAGGTTGGCCTTGAACGCACAGAGAAAATCTGTCTGCCTCTTTCTTCAAAGTGCTGAGATTAAAAGAGCACCATTGTGCCTGGCCTAGTTATTGTTAAAACAGGGAAGATAAAAATGTAGGACAGGGGCTATAAAGATAGCTTAATGATATAATAAATATTTTTTTTTTAAAAAAAAAAAAGAAGGGAGCTAGAGAGATGGCTCAGAGGTTAAGAGCACTGACTGTCCTTCCAGAGGTCCTGAGTTCAATTCCCAGCAACCACATGATGGCTCACAACCATCTGTAATGAGATCTGGTGCCCTCTTCTGGCCTGCAGGTACACATGCAGGCAGAATGCTGTATATATAATATTTTTTTTTAAAGATAGCTTAATGGTTAAGGGCACTGGCTCCTCTTCCAGAGGACCCAAATTCCCAGCCCCGTCAAGGCTGCGGCTGCTCACAACCATCTGTATCTCTAATGTATATATATATATATATATATATATATATATATATATATATATATCCAACACACACATACACATTAGTTAGATGCATGGGTAGCAGGTGGATGGATGGATAAATAGACAGAGGTATAGATGGATAGGTAGATACAGATAAAGAGATGGAAAGAAAAAATTTAATTGGGCCTGGAGATATAGCTTAGCAGTTAAGAGAAATTGCTGCTCTCTCAGAACCCATATTTGGTTCCCAACACCTAAATGGTGTCTCCCAATCATCTCTAACTATAGTTCCAGGGAATCTGACATCCTCCTCTGGCCTCTTCAGATACAAGGCATACATATATGCATGTAGGCGAAACACTCATACACATAAAATAAATGAACCGAAAAAATAAAATTCCATATGTATAATTATTGTGTATGTGTCATGATGCACACGTGGAGATCATAAGGCATCTTTCAGAAATCGGTTCTCTTCTACCATGTGGGTTTCAGGAATCAAACTCATATCATTAGACTTGGTGACAGGCACCTTTATTGGCTGAGCTATCTCAATGTTCCCTGTTTTTATTTAGATACAAGATCGCACATAGCCTAGACTAACCTTGAACTTACTTTGTAGTAGAGAATGACCCTGACTTCTTGATCCTCTTGCCTTAGCCTTTCAAGAGCTGGGATTATAGATGTGTATTTGTGTTTAGGGATGTTGTATGTATTTTATTTTTATTTTTTGCAGTGTTGGTAATCAAACCCGGTGCTTTATGAATGTTAAGCAATTGGTCCGAAGCCAGGTATCAGTTGTGCACGCCTTTAATGCCAGCACTCAGAAGACAGAGGCAAATGGATCTCTGCCAGTTCAAGGCCAGCCTGGTCTACAGAGTGAGTTCCAGGACAGCCAGGGCCTTACAGAAAAGCCCTGTTTTGGAAAAAAAAAAATTGTTTGGGAAAAAAAAGAAAAGAAACCGCTCTGCCACAGAAATATGCTCAACCCCTACCTATTATACCGTTCGGTGACTTTGGTGTGTTTATATAGTTGCCTAGTCATCCAGAACAGCTCAGTTTTAGATTATATGTTGTGTTTTGGGGGCTGGACTTCAATTCACACTGTAACCCAGACGGGGCTTAGACCTGGAATTCTCCCGGCTCAGCTTCCTGAATAGCTAAAATTATATATAGGCTTGAACTATACTTGGCTACTGTTTTAATATTCTCATGACCATCAAAGAATTCCCCCATGAGAATTTGCACACTAGTTTTCATGTCCCAAACCCAGCCACAGAAAACAATTGATTACCACTCTGTTAGTATTTCTGCCTTTCCTAATATTTTATTTAAAACAATCATCACGTAGTTTGTAGTCTATACAGATCCTTTCACTTAGTATATTTTGAGGTTCATGCACGATGTCACCTGTGTTGCAAGTTCCTTTTTTTAGACAAGAGTTTTACTACGTAGTCATGGCTGATACAGAACTCATTATGTAGACCAGGCTGGCCCTGGACTCAGAGGGATCCCCTGCCTCTCTGCCTCTTGAATGCAGGGATTAAAGGGGTGTGTTACCATACCCTACAGATATTTTCTTTTTATATAACTGAATGTAATGTACTGTATAAATACAGGACTCCTTTTAAATGCCTGGTCTTTCGGGACTATAATAATAGTTAATAAAAATAGCTTAGTTTGCATATATGTCATTCCGTAAACATACATTCGAAATTTCTCTTGAGAAGATATGTAGAAATGGAGTGACCGCATCATTTGGAAGTATATGACAACTTTTTCCGCAACTGTTGAACTGTGTTTTCAAATGACTGCTGCTCTACATTCTCATCAGTAAACATAAGGTTCTGTTTCTCTACATCCACAACCCTCTGAGTACTAGATACGCATTCTACCACTGATTTCAATTCCAAACCCCACTTTTATGGATTGTATTCATTCTAGTTGG